ATGAAAATTAGACACAAAACAGACACACAACTGTGATTGTGTTTTTACAGTGTTCAAATATGTTTGAGTGATGAATGGCTGCTAAGGCCGATCACACTGAATGCATTTTTTATTTTATTATTATTTTTTTTTTGGTGAGAGGTGTTATTTAAAAATGGTTTTCTTTTGGCATCAAGTGTTTTCATTGTGTTTTTTCACCCATGTGAGCTTGCATACTGTGCCTCAAGTTTTGACAAAGCAATGAGAAATTCTATGCAGAAAAAATGCCAGAGCATCAAGATCATTAATACAATGTGCGGTCCCACTTTATATTAAGTGGCCTTAACTAATATGTACTTGCATAGAAATTAATAGTTTGTTACAATGTACTTATTGTGTAAATACATGTATTTACAGTGTACTTATGCTTGATTAAATACCTGTATGTAACTACATCTGTAATTAACTTTTGTAATTACATTTGTAAATACACTGTTGACCATCCCTTACACCTTAACCCACCCTTAAACCTACCCATACCACCAAATCTGTCCATAACCAAACCTCTATCCCAACTCAAAAGCACCACAAGTGTTCTCAAATACATCATAAACACAGTAAGTACATTGTATTTATTTTTTTATGTAAGTACATAGTAGTTAGGGACACTTAATATAAAGTGGGACTCAATGTGGTTACCTAGCATCATAAAACACATGTCGCTCTGCACTTTTAAAAAGAGTTTTCTCTAAAGTCAACAAAAATGGGTAACACTTTATAATAACTACACACTATAAACCATTTATTAAGCATTAGTATCTAGTGAATTCATTATTTGTTGAGCATTAACTCTACATTAATAAAAGTTAGTAAGCAGTTTACAACTGCAGCTACAAATTCTGTATTCTTGACTTACAACCACATGTATAATGTGCTTAATAATTGTACTTTCATACTTTGTTAATGATTTATTTTTCATTACTAAATGAAGTGTTGCATTATTTACAAACCAGCTGTATTTAAGAGTAGTTGGAGATTGTTAACATAATTCAGAATGAGTTATTAAATGATTAATAAAGTATTGAAATCAAGGTTTATACATCTTATTATTCAGGTATATGTTAATGGTTACTATTTATGTTAATAATTGCTTTATTAGCTCAACTTCATGCAGTTTTGTGACCTAATCTAAAGTGAGGACTATTTATGCTTTATAAATCCCTTATAAATGATAATTAAAGGTTTGGTATTAAATGAACAATAATCATTGCAATCTTATCTAAAAAGTCAAATTATTGTAAATATTAAACATTGCTGAAAAACAGGAGTGTCAAAATACAACATAAAATTGTATAAAACAACAATAATATAATAATTTAACAATATAAAAAGATGCAATGTTTAAACTGTACAGTCATTTTATTTTAGATCAGGTTGCACAGATTTACTTTTCATTTGATACAGTTTGATTTGTGTATCTTCAAATGAATAGAAATGAATAATGTTGTTTATGTACTTCTTTCCTTTTTAGAATTTAACTGACTCTTTAATTGTCATTTATAAGGCATTTATAAAGCAAGAATAGTCCTCACTTTAGATTAGGTCACAAAACTGGATGAAGTTGAGTTATTAAAGCATTTATTAACACATTAGTCAACTATAAATATATGCCTAAATAATAAGATATATAAATGTTGATTTCAATAGTTTATTAATCATTTACTAACTCATTCTGAATGATCTTAAAAAAACACCAACTATGCTTAAACAACTGGTTTGTAAATAATGCAATACTTTATTTAGTAATGAAAAATAAATCATTAACAAAGTATGAAAGTACAATTATTAAGCACATTATACACGTGGTTGTAAGTCGAGAATACAGCATTAATAGCTGCAGTTATAAACTGCTTACTAATGTTTATTAATGTAGAGTTAATACTTAACAGATAATGAATTCACTATTTGCTAATGCTTAATAAATGATTCATATTGTGTAGTTATTATAAAGTGTTACCCAAAAATGCAATGCAGAAACTGAGAATGGAGCATATACATATGTATTATTCAGTCACAAGTTGGCATCAATCAGTCAAAACAGCTGTGTGATATATGGGTACACTCTCAGAAATAAAGGTACACGAGCTGTCACAGGGGTGGTACCTTTTCGAAAGGTACATATTTGTACCTAAAGGGTATATGTTGGTACCTCAAAGGACTACATTAGTACTTAAAATTTCCAGAGGCACATTTTTTGTACTTTTTAGGTACTAATATGGACCCCTGAGGTATTAATAAGGACCCTTTAAGTACAAATATGCAACTTTTAAAAAGGTACCACCCCAGTGACAGGCCTTGTACCTTTAATTCTGAGAGTGTACATAATTGAAAGTTTTTAAGTTATCGGATGAGCCTGTGATCAGCAGTTGTTTTCTGGGAAAATCATACCTTGGAATGTAGCAACTGACCAATCAGAATAAAGTAAAGTATTCTCGACAGTGTAATAAATAATAATATTAAATATTAAAATACATAATAAAAATAGCTCATATACAGCGGTCTATCGCTATAACGTCGTTCACCTTTTGCAGCCTCACAGTTTCGGATTATTTTATTTATTTATTTTTTGCATTCTTTAGTGTTTTTTTTGTGTTCTTTAGTGTTTTTTGTGTTATTGTCTTCTGATTGGCTGTAGCCCATTGTCAATCAATCTTCTGTGTCTCATTCACAGGACAGAATGCGTTCAGCTAGCCAAATTAGCAAAAATCTTCAATCACAGTCTTGGGTTCAACAAGGATGCAAAAGAGTTGTAATTTTCCACAGCAAGACCATCGTAAAGGGAGTCGCACACTGGATTCGCCACACAGCACCATGCATTTTAAAAACCAATCAGTGTACACACAAACCAATGCCGAAAATTGGTGACATTGATTTTTATTTCTCCCACGCCACAGAGCACCATCTGAATAGTTTCATTATAAATAACATGTGATTGTGGCGGATCTACTTTAACGAATTCGCCTTTTGAGGGTTATTTTTAAAACGTAACTCCTGTGAATAATGAGGAACCACTTTACAGATTTCTCTAAATAAATAAATAAATAGCTAAATTAAAACTAAAAATATCAAATGAATTATAAAACATAAAAATCACAAAATGCATTCATTAGAAAGATTATGTAAATAATATGAAAAGTATTATACACAATTAAAATGTAATAATTATTTTTATGTTTTCTGTAATACTTTTATTTTATTTTTTTTCTCAATTTTATTTTTTTATAATCATATATGTTTAAAAATAACATTTAGTTAAATGTCATCTCTTTTAACAACTTACTTTGCACATAGTATTATAAAAAATATATATATATATATTAAAAATCTAAAATCGTATTTTTTAGCATTTATCCAGGTCCTTTGACTTCAATCATGAGGAAGTGCAATAATAAACCTATAAAGAATCGTTAATGGTTCTTCAGAAGTTATTTGGGCTGGTTAGGTTGCTACAAAGCACTATAAACCCTCTTTTAAAAAAGATGTTAAATATCACTGAAATGATTACAAGCCAAAGAACCACTTTAAGTTATACATATATAGCACCTATGCAGTAGTGCCATATAGCATCTTAACCTCCCAAAAGAACCACTGGAGAACCATTACAGGTTCGACATAGCATTTATTCATTCTATTTAGCAATGTGTGTTTTTATTTTGTTTGCTTTTTAATAGTTACACTTAATAAAACTCAAGATTTTTGTAAGAAAATTTAAAAAATACATTTTGTTTGGTGATGCAACTTTTTTGCAAAGTACAAATTGATCCATGTTTAGTTCTGCCTTGTGTGTGGACGGGTAAAACAAATCTGCAGCGTGTTGTGAAAAGTAAAAAGCTTGGAAAACTAATGGGGTCTTTTGAATACTTTTGGGATTTTTCAAATGTGGCGATGCTCTAAGGGAAATAATTGGGTTGCTTTTGAGTTCAGGTCTGTAAAAATTAAGCGTTTGCGTGGGACCCTTCCTTCCATGCTCATTAATGAGTTGACCTGACCCTCCAAAGTCAGAAAATAACCTACCATATCATTAAATATCAAGATGGCTGGCATTAGCAAAAATCCTCTATGTATGTGTGTTGCAGGTATTTTTTCCAGCTGAGTTTGCAGATATAAAGTCCTTCAGGCTACCTGCAGGATATGGCAGAAAAACTATGTGGATGCTTCAGCCACGCTTAAAAATGAATTAATGTCATGGAGTATGTTACAAAATATCAGACACATAGCATTTATTGTAAAGAAACACAGCATAAGCATATTTGCACAATTTTGATAGGTTGTAGCAATTTATTAATAGTAAAAGTAGTAGTTTTTGGGTCACACTTTACAATAACAGACACACACACTCACACACACACACACTCACACACACACACACACACATACACACTCACACACACACACACACACACACACACACACTCACACACATACACACACATACACATACACACACACACACACACACACACACACACACACACACACACACACACACACACACACA